TCTTGTAATCAAGAAGTGAATTTAAAAATTAAAGTTTAATGTCCATTCGCAAGTAACAATGTAATATCAAAATAAACAATACTCAAACATTCTTTTAGCATTATGAGTTACACTCCTGAAACAAAAAAAAAACATAAAAATGAGAATTAAGATAAGAATAAAAATTACAAAATAGACAAAATCAAGAATACATTGAAATTGAACGATTACTCAAATGAAAGACTTATATGTAATAGTAATACTGGTTTTCATAAATGACTGCAATATAGAAAATGAGAAAAAAATACAAATTGAGAAACTTTATAAATATAAAAGATGGAGAAGGAAATTGATAATAGAAAAGCTCCACATTGGTCATACTTGATCTGATTCTGATTGTTGTCAATAAGCAAAAAATAAAACTTGAGTAGCTACAACAATATTAGCATAAATAACTTTCGAAAAATAAAAAAAGACACATATAAAGAACACACATACATAACATAAATAACTTTAAAAAAAATGAGGGATACAGAACCATAGTGAATAAAATATAATAACCGAGATTTTTTTTTTTAAAAAGAAGATTCATCAACATCATATAACTCACACAAATCTAAAATAAAATGTAATAGTTGTTAGCCTAGAAAAGTTTATGGAAAAATAACATTCGAGCATGTACAATAACAAAGTTTTGCAAAAAGAAACATATAATGCACAAAAAAAAACAAATTTAACAATAATTAACAAAAATATAATAACATGGAATAAAAAAAACACTCATCAACAAAATATAACACACAAAAATCACAAAAAAAAATAACATTTCTTATATAGATTTTATGGTGGAAGAACAACGACATCAAAAATAAAAAATTCGGCAAAAAAACCCGACACACATTCATAAAACAAATAACTCACAACAAAACATAATATAAACCATTAAAAATGTAGCTTCCAGTATAATTTGCAATATGATCGGTAAAACAAAAAAAAACGTTAAATGAGACTTAATATATAGATGGAATAAAAAAATGGAACAGAAAACCGAAAAGTATAAGAAATTTTTGACTTGATGAAAGATAATCAATATAACCAACAAAAATATTTTAAAAATCTAAAAACTTGAGGAAAAAAGAATTAAGAAATAACTCTTTCACAATGTGGAAATATGAAAAGAATATAATAAATGTCTCTAAAAGTTTAGGTAGATTGAAAGTCAAGGTAATTAAATTGAAAGTGAAATAACCAAATTAGCCTTCTTATAATGAAATACATATTTTTTATTTAGGGTATAATAGTCTTTAACTTATTTAATATTATAAGAACTCAAAACTATGGAAAATTATTTTAGACAAATCCTACTCTAAGAATGTGCCACATCATTCTTTGTAGGTTTTGCTTATATATATAAGGGCTTAGGGGCTGTTCGGTTTGTTTGCTGTTAAGACTTGTATGGATATAGCTGTCTGTATTGATATAGTTGTCTGTATATTAGCAAATAAGTTGTTCGGTTGTTGTACTAAATAAAAAGTCTGAATGTCAAAATGACCATTTTATCTCCAATCTATATTAATTACTATTAAAACATTTGTTTTTCTCCCTACTCACAGTTTCCCAATCCAAACCCATCACTCTCAATCCAAACCCACTTCCCCTGTACTTGTAAACACAATCGCATCCACCGCTCCCATCCCTTTGAAATCAACAGTGCCGCCACGCATCCCTTTGAAACCGTGTCTCGTCGGCGTTCACCCTCACCGCCACCCATCCCTTTGAAACCAAATCCCGTAAGAAATCAGGGACGACTCGTTGTTCTTCCAACCCCACCACCAATGGCACCAGACATAGCACTTTCCGCCCATGCCCCAACCCCAGTGCCCTCACCAGACCCGCCGGAGTTGCGATTTCTGGAACCAAAAGCTTGATTCTACGACTGTTGTCACAGATTCTACCGACAAACGAGTTATCGATGAGATCGGCACCTTTTTCGAGAGCGGAAATTGTGATGGGTTCACCGGAAGGCGTCGGAGAAAGAGATGATTTGGTATGGGTGGTGGGTTCGACGGCGACGGTGGGGCACCATAGTGGGAGTCCAACCCTTGATTGTGAAGATGCAGCGTATGCATTCCAATCAGCAAGAAGAGAAGGTGAAAGGGGAGAAGAAGATGAAATAAGGGGAAGGGTAAAAAGAAATAAATGGATTAATAAATGGCTGAATGGATAGGACTCTATCTTTGTAGCTGAGCGATTCAGCCATGGGCTAACCGAATCAGCCTATACCGAACAGTTAGATATGGCTGTGTGAATAAGCCATATGGCTTATACAGCCCATTAAGCTGCAACCGAACAGCCCCTTAATCAAATGTGAATTATTTAATTAGTTTGTGATAACCGTAAGATCCAACGTGAACCAACTGTTCAAGATAATTAATATGATTTCTTAAAATAAATATAAGGGTAAATTAGTAAATTTTACTTGTTATAATTAGTTTAGAATTATAAATTTGCATTTAAGTCTTGTCTCTCTCACTCACTCTCAGTCATTCTCAAACCCCAAATTCCTTTATCTCTCTATCTTCCCACCAGATCCGATTCAAACCCAATTGAAAAACCACCCTCATCATCGCCAAATCCAATGACAGTGATTCCATCGACGACCCTGACCGCTTAATCTCCATAAATAGAGATGTGTGTGTGTGTGTGTGCGTCTTTGTGTCTTTGTGAAAGAGGGCGACTTACAATCAAAGATTGAATGAGGGGAACAATCTGGACGAGGTCATTGAAGAGAAGACGGCCGACATTGCCGACAACAGTAGTGGGTGGAACTGGATAAAGCAGAAAGATTACGGCGGGAGAAGGTGAAAAAGGGTGGAGATCTTCGCTGGAAAGCCATGAAGTTGGTTCTCCACCACCAAAACCCAAAGTAGCATTGTCCTGCTCCAAATCAAAGTGTTGCGATGATTGATGTTACATTCCTGGATCTTTGTTTTGACAAAATCAACTGAAATTATGGCTCCAAAATGGGAATCAGATCAAAGAAACGATTTCAAGAAACATAAACAGTGGTAATATAGTATATTAAGGTTTAGTATCACAATGGTAATATAGTTGGTGTGAGTGGTATCACAGTGGTACCCCAATTGGTCCTACATTCAATATCACAGTGCATCTTATATGTATTTTTGGTCTCACAACGTGGATTGTCTGTATGTATCTCTTAAATTTATATTATGGATTTGATTTACTTTTAAGGTTTGGGTTGGTATCACAGTGATATTACAATGGGTATCACATTGTGTATCTTTGTGATTACTTGGTACCGGCCAAAATAATGTTCACCGGAGGTCGGAGGTCAGAGAGAGGAGAGAGAAGTTTTTAAAAATACCTAGAATGTCCTCTAATTATAATTTTAACTCAATTTACCAAAATTATTAGTTTCTTAATTTATCCGTTGATATGTGATTGAGATTGGATCTCACAGTTACCACAAACTAATCAGTTCTCCCTTGTATGAACCCCTATATATATGTGTGTGTCTGTGTGTGTGTGTATATATATATATACATATATTAGAAAGCTTGTTTCTTTTTTCATCAATTACAACAAAATTAAGCATATTGAACGACAAAAATGTTTAAGCGTCCTAATAGACTGTTTTATAAGACTTTAACTTATAAGATCAAACAATAAAACGTTTTACCTAAAAATGTGATAATAAGTTTACAAAACGTTATTGGTTGTAGTAACAAGTTTTTGGAATATTTTTATAAAAGAAACGTCTTATCAACTATTTTTTAGGATAATATTTAGAAAAATATTTTATAAAAACAAATGTTCGATAAAAAGATATGTTTATTAGACATTTTTCAAAGTGCGAAAAAAAAGAAACCGAACAGGAACCGAGCACGGGGAGAGGGGGGGGGGGGGGGTTGATTAGCTCTCTGATTTGAGAAATGAAAAAAGGAAAGCAATTATGTATGATAAAAGATCGTTTTTATTTCACTTGTATCACTCTTGACACATAAAAATTTTGAAAATTAATAATTAAATAGAAATATAAAAAAAGAAACAAACAATTAATTTTTATATTTTTTTAATAAATAAATCATTTATAAATAAAAAAACAAATAAATTTACTTAAAATCCTTTTAAGATCCGTTGGTAATTAGTAAACAATTATTGACGACAAGTATTAAAAAAATCCGTCACTATGCATCTAAGGATCATTGATGTTTTATCAAAAATTGTAAATAAAAAAAAGAAAATACCTTTGATGATCTTTACGTAATTATCAATAAATTCTTATTTTTAATTTTCCGTTTGTTCGATTCAGTTTTTTTCGCCCACCCGTCATCATTCGGTGAAGTTCTACATCACCGACGGATTATCGACGGTTCATCTTGTCCTTGTAACAAAAATCGCCGACATATTAGTTTGTTGTCGGAAATTCTCATCGATAAAAACCTTTATTCTAGTAGCGCTTTTGCATCTCTAATCAAGACAACGCCGACATTTGAAATCAGCCCGAGGGTTAAAAATGCATAAGTACATGAAGAAGATACGTATATATCTCTTGAGAATGCCTGATGAACATGTCAAGAGATAAGGTAAAAAATTTAGAATTGCTTCAAGGTTAAGTTGGTAATACGACTTATTATGTTACTCAATGATTTAACGATTAGAAGTTATTACAAAATCAAAATTATCCACAAATAATTCAACATTGATGTATATAAAAATTCAAAGTTCTCATCGAAAACTTTAACCATTTCTGAGATCATATTAAAAGGGAAAGTATTACTATTTCTTTTGAAAAGATAAAGAGTAATTAATCATAATTAAAAAATTTCCCTTCTGAATATATGCTTACCATTTTTATGAAGTGATACAAATCAAGAAAGATCGAAAATGAGAGGGTTTCAAGAACTTTGATTTTGCTACTAAATATAAATACTTCAGTTACGCCATTCCAATCACCAATAAATACCCACAAAATCCCACCTAAAATTCAAAGCAAAATGGCTTTCAACCTTCAAAACCCTTTTTCAAATTTCATTGTTGTATGCTCAATTTCTTCCCTTTTGGCAAGCCATTTTGAACTCTTTGTTAATGGTGATGGGTTTTCACCCGCTTTGGGAACATGGTATGGGGATCCAAATGGCGCTGGAAGTGGTAATTACATCTCAACATCATTAATGTTTTACAGTAATTTGATAGAGATAAATAATAATGTATGTACCTATTCTTGTTCTTAATTATGTACAGGAGGAGCTTGTGGTTGGGCTAATGATGTGCAGTCACCTCCATTTTCATCCATGATAGCAGCTGGAAATTCTAGAATTTTTTTGAATGGCAAAGGATGTGGGAATTGCTATCAGGTGATCAAGAACTTAACCCCGAGAAGTGATTTCATTTATCTTATAAATAAGAAAATGGGTATGTTTTTATGTGATTAATTGTTGACGTTAACGTTTTAATATTATGTTTGATTTTTCTCAGATTAAGTGCAGTCGAAATCCATATTGCTCAGGAAACCCTATTACGGTGACGATATCCGATGAGTGCCCAGGAGCATGCAATGATGTTCCATTCCATTTTGATTTAAGTGGAACTGCTTTTGGAGCAATGGCCAATCCGGGACAAGCTGAGAATCTTCGTAATCTAGGCCAAGTTGATATCCAATATCAGAGGTTCAATTCATACATGATTTTATTTGATGAATTCATGTGTTCTAATTCTACCCATTATTGTATTTGTTATATTGTTGCTAACCAACAAATGCTCCTGGAAAGATGAAAAGGAAGTATGCAAATTAAAGCGATACGAGAGATATCTATAAGACTTAATCTGCATGCATGTGTAGGGTGGCGTGCAACTATGGTGGAACAAAGATCGCTTTCAAGATTGMTAAAGGAACRAACCCTAACTGGTTTGCAACTGCGATAGAATTTGCAAATGGAGATGGTGGACTTGGTTCAGTGGAGATAGCACCGTCTGTTTCACAAGGGTTTGTTCCGATGAAGAACATTTGGGGCACCGTTTGGCAAGCTGACATCAACCCATCTTTCCGTGGTCCATTCTCGTTCAGGCTCACGTCTCCAACGAACAAGGCGGTGATCGCACAGAATGCTGTTCCGGCGGGCTTTGCTGCTGGTCAAACTTATTTCTCTAACGTAAACTTTTAGTACAGAGCTAATAACAGTAGTGATCAGTTGCCTAATAGTATGTAACTGAAGTAGTGTTTTCTGTTGGATATAGAAAACAAACTTGCTGTTGATCGCAGTAAGAATTTGGACAGAAAAACAATGGAGAAGACTGCAGAAAATGGAACTTTGTTTATT